TCAAATGGGTTCAGGGTCTAGCGCTTACAAGAAATTCGGGTTTGGAATTCTCCTCCTCAAAAGATCCTCAAACGATTGTTGGGCGTCAGCTTCCAAAATTCTATCTATGTTCCATCTTTAGTCGAGCTTAACTCAACAGGACTACAGGTGCAGGTTCGTGCTCCAAAGGGCATTGAATCTACAATCCAAGCCTGTTGGGTTGGGTTTACGACCTCTGCAGACCATACACCGGCCTCATCAAACCCCTTCTACCCCCAACAGCAAGCCTTGAACTAAGATCCTAGACCTTGAACTCCCACCCTTGTCCCTGAACTTGTTCGAGCACGACTTACACCTCAAATCCCAAACCTTAAGCCCGTCCCTAAACTACGTAAACCCCAAGCCTTAATCAAAGTCCCTGACAACCTAGAACCTGGACCCCGCTAAATCCTAAACACTAAATCGTAAACCTCGAACCCTAAACCCTAAGTCCTCCAGCTGCTGGTTCAAGTTCAATGTCTGCTCTCTTGCTCGATCCCGCTGCTGCTCCGCGGTTGCAATCTGCTGCTTCAAGCTGAGGATCTCCTGGCAGCTGAGTGGGTAGAAATTAGGCTTTAAGGTTTATACGCTCATCATGGCTGGGTGTCTAGAATACGCATGGCGCATCCTCCCTCAATAACTCTTTGGGCATGAATATGGCTCACATGTTGAAGCGGACACCTACTATTCCACATTCATGTACTCACGAAGCATTGCCAAGGTTGCACATGACCAAGCTTCTTCCGTCTTGAAAGTAAGGAAAGGTATGGATCCCAATCATAATCCCTATGCCCAAGATCATCCTCAGGATAACCCCTTTTTAATCTACCTTAGGTGGATCCCTCACCCAGCAATGGCGATTGCAAGTGACAATCATGATTATGTGCAGGTCCTCTTATTGTCCCATCATACCACTATTACAGGGTGGGGGGGTCCACCTAAAATCTACATGTTGCTTAGCAAGGAATCAGGGAACCATGCTCTCTAGAGGATCCCCTCATAATCGTCCCCATCGCCTACCCCCCACTTGCTGCTAAGCACCGGGAGCAAGAATCAAATGATGGACCCTGCATGGGGGTTTTCGGACATCAGCGGTCCTTCTCGAGGGTTCCTTAAACTACGGCGTGTGGAAAAATGTGGTCTATGTTGTGAGTTGTGACCCCCATTTTTATGGAAACGACCATCTAGACTCAGTGTCCATGTGTTTCCATGGTCTTTTCCATTCCCTTCTCCATTCCTGAGGGTACAGGCTTACATGCGCTGCTGCAAATCCTTTACCTGAGTGCCTCCCCAAGAGCAGGCCCCAGCAAAACCAACGTGCATCTACGGATTAGGATGGAAGTTGCTACGAGTAGGCAAATTGCAGAATACTAGTTTGCTCTCTACATCACCTCCATGATGAGACACTGCATGTTGCAATGTGGGCGTCCTCCTGTCTAGCTTCAAGTGTGAACCTACGGTATGGCTCCAAGAACATAATAAGCATACCCCGTGCACATACCCACAAAACACATCTTGGGGGGAGTACCCCTGTTGGTAGGAACCCTACACTGAACCCATCTTCTTCGAATGTTGATTTTGCCATTTAACCCCTAAACCCTAGAACTAAGTCACGTGGTTTCGTAGGACTGTGCGCCTCGTCATGCTGGGCACTGAGGCGTTCCTGGTCACCAGGGAACGTGGGCCAGTGATACACGTCTCCGTTTCCATGCTGGGATGTCAAGAAAAGTTCCACCGCAAAATTATTCCGGTTTGGCTAACCTGAAACAGCAAGCTCATCCACATCCCTTCATAAACCGAAACCTAAGCCCGTCAAGCCAAGGCCATTCATGCCGTTGTGCCTCGGCCTAAGCTCTACGTACCCAAATCAGCAGCCCTACATACCCGCCTCATTTAACCAGACATATGCCACCTGTCAGAGTTCCCAGGGCCTTCTCCACCTAACATGGCCATTCCTTATGCTTTTGATGTCTACTAGCACCACATTCCTGCAACAACCACTGCCGCTACTCACAACTGACAAAAACTTCCAAAACAGCACATGAGTGCAATGGCTACTCGTGAGCTACTGATAATAATAGTGCTGCTGCTGCTGCTCCTGCTCCTGCTCCTCCACCTACTACTACTACTACTACTACTACTAGACTACTAATCTATGGGGGCCCCTGAAAAGGCAGAGATTGTGCGTCATGGTAGTGCCGCACAGCCTTGCACACAGTTAATAGTAATAGTACTCATAGTGATAATAGTAGTAATATTGATCGTAGTATGCTCTCCGAGCCTTCTCTTTCTCTGCCTTGGCATCGATGGAGGCTTCTGCTGCCTGCAGCTGCTTGTGCAGCTCCACAGCCTCAGGGGCTTGGAAATCCTCAGGTCTGGGGTTTTAGGGCTCAGTTCCTAAGTAACACGTGGCTACAAGGACATCAAAATTCCAACTGCACCAAAACCAAGATCATCGAAACAATAATGTAGTGGCGACGATTGTTGCGGTGGCAGTGATGCTCCTGCTGCGAGTTCGATGATGACGGTGATGCTGACGTCCACAACGACACGTTTAGCATCATGGATATGAAGGGATGTGGAGGATTTCAGGCGCTTCAGCCTTGCAATCTGAGCTGAACTATGCATGGACTACTTTCAAGACCACAAGCCTTTACTAGCTATGGGTTTGAAACTTGGGGTAAGCTATGTAATGAAGGCTATCTGGGGGGGTATCTGCAAGGATGTGACCACAGGTATGGCTCCCATGAACCTCCGATCACACACAATGGAGGATACTTGGAGGGTCAGGGCATGTCAGGCTAACAACTGGCGTTATTCTCGCTTCGTGGAGGCCCCCCAAACCCTGCACTACAGGTTGATCTTTCTCAACTAGGAGATCTGTTTCCCAGTAGCACTAACACGATCCTTGCATCCTTTGGTAGCAAAGGAGAGAACTGTTTGTGGACACTTGGCAGCTTCCTATGCTGGCCTTCCCAAGAGGACACACTACATATTCGAAACCTTAGCTGGCAGCGCAAGCTCCAGCACACTTCAACAAATGAAAGCCAACTTGGTAGCAACCTAAGATCCAAAATGCATACTAACCGCTATGCAACCCTATGGAGTCTCTACACATACGCTGCCGCAAAACGTACCACTGTGGGTGCTATCGATCTGGAGCAGCGCAGGCATGGGATTGCCAGCGATATTTCCCACTCAGCGTGATATGCTGACTTTTCAAGACTCTAAACTTCCCCCAAGTTCGGGATGTCCCGAAATCGAAATCATTCCGAACTGCCACGTCCCGCCTTTTCGTGGGCCTCCTTTTGCTGGGCATCAGCAACTTCTGTAAGCTGGCGGAGCTGCGAGAGCTCCTTCCCGTTGTGTTCGTCTTTTGAAGACACTTGTAGGAGTCATGCAGGGTGTAAGCATAGCTACGAATACTTGTCGGCTCTTGCTTGGACCCCTTTGAATCATCTGGAGCTAGCTACACAGCACAGCAGGATCTGTTATGATATTGAGGAAAATCAGAAACTGCAACTCCTGCCACTAGTCGTCTTACCACTTCTGCAGTGTGTGCTGAATGTCAATCTGGTTTCAAGTTTGTTGTCTGGAAGGGCTTCTTTTTTGGTGTTTGCTTCAAGCCGGGCACCTGTAGGTACCCCAGGTCAAAAAACAGTCCGAAAGGCTCATCGGGATCCCTCTCACGAATTCTCCAGGAGGATCCCTGTTGCTCGCAATGATCTTTCTGTGCCAACTTTCTAGGTTGGACGGGGCTTTGATCAAACATGGGGGGCCATTCCTATGGGAGAATCAGTCCATGCACGCCTCTGTGTCAATCACTGCTTGAGCTCACACCCAACAAACAGGAAATCAGAAGACGGCAAAACCTTCAAGCTTCTACTAGCCCCGTGTTCAGGGTCTCCTCAGCATGCGTCTTTTCCAGCTCTTCGCGCTTCCGCTGGATAGCCTGGCAAGAAATAGGTCGTCGGGTGGGTCTGACCCAAAGCTTGCTACGTCGAAAGGCGCAGCTGCACCAAGGTCTCAGGGGAAGCTAGAACACAGAGGGTGGACACGGCAAAGGAGTTTTCTCGAGAAATGAACTTCTGCTCTCCGTTTGAGCTCCCATGTGCTTACTAGAGCAGGTCTTTGTGCTGGTGCTGAATGTGGCAACATGCAGCACAAGGAACTGCACTGTAGTCAAAATCTTGCTATAACCAAAGATGTTCGAGCTCATCCAGTGCAACCTTCCTGCATCCTAAGAGACTGGGAGAGGTCATCCTCACAACGACGGAATGACAAACGATGGCAATCAGAGCCACGGCAAGAATGACAATAGCGGTGGCTGTAGCCGTAGCCGATGCAGCAGCAGAAGCGGTTGTAGTTGTTTAAAAGCCGCAGCAACAGCAGCAGCAACAGCAGCATTGGCAGCAGCAGCAGCAGCAGCAGCAGCAGCAGCCGCCACCAAAGCCATCATCAGCAGCATCACCAGCTCCCCAAGGCCTCTTCAGCAGCTTGGTCCGCATAGTCAAGAAGCTCGCGGAGTTCTTGCGCTTTCTCCTACGCATAGGTATTAACCTTTGCTGGGATGCACAAACTTTCCCGGGCATCTATGCCTGAAAACATGCTCAGCCATCATGCAGTAGACCAAGCACTTCTGATCAATCTTGCTGCTGCGTTACAAAACCGTATGTTCTGGAACCTTGTGCCTGGCTCAACCCTCCGTTCTTACTTTATCTCCGCGCAACTCTGTCAAGACCATCCTGCCCCGCAAAAACTCCAAATGAACTCCCCAAGCTGAGGTCGGGCATAATTACACACCACATGATAGGAGCCATTAGTCCGAAGGACCCTGAAACACGACCCATTACTCCCACCAAAATGTCAACCCCTACAAATATGCTGCAATCAACCTATAACCACACTGCAAACCCTACATGGACCCTACATCAAGGTCAGTCTTGCATCGGTTCTATACCCTTGAACCCTGAACCGTTCTCCTCGGCTTCGATGCGCTTCTTTTCTGCCTCCTCCTCCTTTTCCTTCAGCTTCTGCAGCTCCTTCCGAGCATGGTTTTGCGTGCAGGCTTTCTGGTTGCAGGGCCTAGGATTCAGGCTGAGGGCTTTTTAGGCCTTGAAACACTTTAAACAAGCATCCTCCGCGTGGGCCAGGGCCACGGGCATTGGAATTGCAAGCTTTCATTTGCGAAGCTCAAGCTACCATTGTTCCTTCCATCAGAACCTGTGCTGACATGCGCATTGTCGAGCGGCACTTCTTCTTGCAGTAATAGCATCTAAATATCTCATCATCTTGTCATGAGTTTTGCCATTGTGCATCCCTACTTTTGCTGATATTACCTGTGCTTACTGTCACTTCGAAAGGCCTAGGTCTTTCAGTCCTGCTCGTGCTCTGCATCCGTGAGCGCCTGGAATAACGAGAGCGGGAAAGGTCGCGGACCCCTTCTGTTGATGGAGTCATCTTGCAGCACTGAGAAAACCATTAGAACTGTATTTGCCATGATCAAGATGTCATCCATCCGTCGTTTAAAATAAGAAGGAAACGCAAGATTTGCCCAGAAGCATGGATGAATGCATGAGACTTTTGGGCGGCCCAGCTTGTGTACAGAAGTAACGAGGGCTGCAAGACTGCCTCTTCCTGCTCAGCCAAAGATGGAACCACATCCCAAGAAGCCGGTCTAAGGGCTTAGGGTGTATAATCCCGGCAGCATACTATGCACATATCCTGCTCATTCCCCTGTTGCAAACCCCTCACCCATAAAAACCCTAAATAGAGGTCCCTATGCCTGTTTTCCCTTTCTCCGCTCTCGAATTTACGAATAAGAAGCAAGAAGAGCCTGGCCATGACTATTCACTATTCAGGTCTAGAAAAGCATTTGTGAGCGTTCCAAGACTACCCCATGGATCCTTGGGAGGGACCGCATGATCCCCTTACATCCCCAAGGTCGGGCCTAAGGCACCTGAATGTTGGAAGATTGCTTACGCTTACTGTAACTGCTGATTGCTTGAGATGAGGCCACGCGTTGACTCAAGATGGTTTGTCCCCCGCGCTTAGCTCGTGTCAGCATGCAGGGCACAACACCATCATGGGTTTAAGCTCGGGGCAGGCCTTTGGGGTTTAAGCTTCCGTAGGGCGCAGGAAACGAAAACTCTGCTGCCTTCTGCTCCTGCGCACGTTGGAGGGCCGCCTTGTGCTCCTGCGACTCTGACTCCAAAGTGTCACCTGAGAAGCAAGGCCAGAGTTCAGAAGGTGATGTGGAGGGCTGCCAGCCGGAATTGTAGGGATTCTGTAGCAAATCCACGGGGATCGTGGGCTTAGGGATCGGGAGTGTCCAAATTGTGGTGAGCATAGGGACCTTGTGTTTTACTTGGGTAGTTCTTGTTGGTGGTTGAACCAATAAGACTATGTATTCTGTAACGGCAAGGAGCATACTATCTTGCTCTCCATCGGGGGCTGCTCGCTTGGGAACTGGAAGAAACTTCTGCAACTCAAGGCCCCACATGTAGTGTATGTAATCCACTGCCTGCCTCGAATACCAAATCTGCCTCCAGGCATAAAGTCGCTTAATGTGACTACTTAATATTAGTGGATGGGGCAAGTTAAGGTGAAGGGGGATTGGATCCCACTCTTTGTGAAGATGGACTGGTGCAAGCATCACCCTAAACCCTACACCCTAAACCTCAGAACCTGAAGCATCTGTCCAATTCCACCCGAGGAACCGAAGCTGAGCATCCCTCGCAAGCTCTGCACCCTCAGTAAACCCCAAAAGAATCCCCAAGGGTTTGGGGGATTCAGGGATGTAGGGCTGAAGCCAACATCATCCCTGGCCCTACACCTATCCCTACAATACTATAGTAGCTTCGATTTTCTTTTCCGTTATCCCTATATAACCCCTAGATATACCCAATATTACGTAGTAGTTTCCATTCTTTATCATTCTCTTTTCCATTATCCCTATGTAACCCCTAGAGATACCCTATTCTAATGTAGTAGTTTCCATGCTCTTTTTCATTATCCCTCCTTGAAGCTTGGCCACATTTCTTTTGCAAATCCACGATTTCGCGCAGGGCTTGCTCCTGGATCTCCTCTTGCTCTTTCCTTGCAGTGGGTGGTCTCCCATAACTTATAGTCCCCCTTAAGTAGATAGGGTTCAGGGTTTAGGATTTAGGGATTATAGTCCCCTTAAGTAGATAGAATATGGCTTTGGGTACTACAATAAGATCCCCATATACCCACATTCTACCTACTTAAGGGGGACTATAAATAGCAAAAAAATTGATTTGGCTAAACCCAAACCCCATATGAGGATTTCCCTTAAACGGGTGAATCCATCTTTGGGGGAAGCTGGCGTGCACCCTATACCCTGTATATCAGTATATGGCTCCGACGTAATCCCCATATAAACCCCCCGAATGAGTTCACTTGTGGGCTGGATCTGCATGTCATCTGGATTGCAGCATGGAAACCCCCTTATAATCCCCATGTACCCAAACTTCCTGAATTCCGAAATGACAGGGACACAGTTTCAACCCATAACTGGCTCCTTTACGCTGAGTAACTCACCACCAGATTCTCGGCCACAAGACACCCCTCAAGACTATAAATGAGTATACTTACTCGTGGTGAGTAGGGGCCACAGGAATAATTACATTATATAGATCATATTCCCTTATTCCCTACTAACCGCCAGAAAAATTCAGTCCTTGCATAATTATCCCTTAGTCGAGTACATGTGTGATGTTTGCAGCTGTGCCACACAGTGGCCTCAGCATCGGCGAGGCGCTCCCGAAGGACCACCGGCCAGCGAAGGGCCGTGACCAGCCTCAACGGTCGGAAGCTTCTGAAAAAACAGTGCGCCTTGTGTCTACTGAGATAGTGGGTTCAGGGAGTCAGGTTCAGGGCGTCTCAAAAGAAGGGGCCCGAGAAAACCTGGCGAGATAATAAAGAGATTCGGCGAGGATTGTGGGAAATATCAGAATATGCACCAATCCCCTGCGAAACCAGAAGAACTCTAGGGATTCATTCTAGGAAAGTCCTTTCCTCCACACTATCAGAAGCGCTAACTCCCAGTCCCTTTGTCCCAATACCCTCGCGCGAAATGCCGGCCCTGGTTTGGCTGGGCCGCTGTCTGATCAACTCCGCTACTTCTGAATCGATATCCGGCTTCGCCTTTTGCACGGCCTGAGCACAGGTTGCTGGGCACAACCAAAAAACAACAGGTAAGGGTTCAGGGTTTGGGCTTCAGGGTTCAAAGCTATGACACCTCTCAAACCCATGTCTGTGCATGAGACCTGGAAGCCAATTACAGGTGGGGAGATTACGGGGAGGTGGTTCCCAAAGTCTGTACTCCCATGCTAGTCACACGAGGCCTCTGCAGCTCATGCGGCTTAATCCCTTACCCTGATAATAAATCTCCCTACACCCCTAATAGTTCCCCCAAAACAACTATACAGGGTGTATCTAATGCAGGCGGGGTTTTTGTCACTGCAGGTTTTTCGAAGGTTGTAAGGGTTATATTGGTAGGTATAAGGTTCAGGGCTTCCCTAAACCCAAAAGTGGTACCTTTCGTCTACGTCAATCTCTACATGGGGACTTCCCAGCATTAGGATTTAGGGTTTAGGGTATTTTGGGGGGCCTTAAAAAAAGAGGTAAAAAAAAAGGGCTATAGTATATTGGGATCTATATTGGGGGTCCCTCTATTTAGGCAAACTATCACATCTTGTTTTGCAGAGCAGGGCCAACTTTTAGGGAGCCCAGAGAGATATGTAGGGACGATCAGGGGGATAGCATATAATGGTCTTTTACGAGGACGGGATATGTGACCATTTTCAAAAATCCCTCTATATCTACATATTTTCATATGCACATACTCCTGCAAACAAACTCCTACAGAGGCTGTGCGCACTCACCTCCCTAGGCCCCCGGACACCAAACAACTAGGTACTAGGTAGAATCCTGAAAGCCCTAAAAATAACAAACCCCAAGGAAGACCCGCAGACAGGATTTACAAGGGAACCCAAAAGTTATTTCAAGGGTCTGTTTTCTGTGCGGGCCCTAAACCCTGAACCCTCAACCTTCTGAAATCTAAACCCTAAACTCCTGTCCCTTGGAAATCTCCCTGAAACAGTAATTTCCCAAAATAAGAGAAAACCGATATAGACCCCAAAATACTATAGTCCTTAGCACTGGGACTCCCAAAAAAAGGTGCCCCCAATTTTAGGAAACCCTAAACTCTAGACTCTAAACCCAACATATATATATATATGTATATCCCCTGTAACCCCCTTAAAAGGTACCCCTAACTTTCGCAATCGCCCTGAAACACCAAGACCTCTGGCCACGGTTCCCATGTCCCCGCCTGCACCGCCTCACGAAGTTGAGCCGCACTGTCATCTTCCTGCTGTCCAGTTTAGGGTTTAGGGTTTAGGGGTAAAGGATGTTTCTTGTAGAGTTTAAGGTGTACGGTTATATACAAGGATCAGGCATATAAAGGGGGGCATATGCGGATTATATTTGAGTTACATAAGGTTATGTGGGCATGTTGAACAGATAGTGATGAACACAAAACTACAATACGAAATCGAAAAGAAAAAGTTTTTTTGTTATGGAATTAGCAATTCGAAAATCTAAATAGTATCAATCAAAGCCTGATAATAAAACAAAATCAATAAGTTAAGCGACCTGTACTGTGATAGAGACACTGGCTTTGGAAGTGCTAAAAGTTTTAATGATGATGCTAGAGAAGCAGGAATGGTAATAACTTGAAATGAAATTAAAGGATGGTTGAGAAGCCAGTCTCGCCAACAGAGGAAAGAACTACAAAACGCATCTATTCACCTCCATTTGCGAGGTCGGTATGAAGCGTCGATTTACGGAACATGGTTAGATTAATGCAAGATACTATGACATACAGAAATACATGACTTCATTCGTGTTGACCATTTAAGTAAGAAGTGTCATGTAGTCGTTATGAAGAATAAAGACACTGACCCCGTTTATGATGTTTTTATGGAATGCTTTACCGTAATGGGGCATATATAGCGATGAGAAGGGTAGTTGTAATTCTAAAACATTACAAGATCATTGAAGGTGAGGGCATAACAGATACAGTAACATTGACACACTCTGATGTAGCGGAGAGACTGATTAAAACATCGAAGAAGGTGACAAGTGATTGATTACAGATACACAAAGAATGGGATGATACAAAGCACTACGGGCTTAACTCCGAATGGGGCTCACCGTGACAAAAATTCGATCATTGTACAAACCAGTTCAGTAATGACAGAAAAATACTTAAGCGTTCCAGGGGCGATGTTCGAGTTTCTTTGTAGAGGTAAGGGCAACTGCACCAGCAGGAAAGAGTACCGAAGTCAGTGGAGCGAAAGAACGTATGAAGTAGAATAAATCAACAGAGACCCACAACTGAATTAATACTATGTTGTTGAAGGGCTAAACGAAAATATGTGAGACATTAAGTTTTGTTTGCCAAGAAATGGCTTGAAATTAAGAGTAGTTAGATTCAAGTTATATGATGACCGAAGAAAACCACAATCAAACAAATGAATACACTAACGGACAAATCAATGTCAGAAAAAAAAAAAAGACACTAGCATTTATGCAGGAAGCACCACCCAATCCTAGAGCAAAAGGTTCACTGACCATAAGAGGTACATTTCAAAACAATATGTCCCCTGTATACTAGGATGATTGAGCGAAGCATTGATAAGTTTTGAAAGTAAGGAAGAATTAAGGAAAAGGGAAGGTGAAATGATCCGAGATGTTGGAACACTTCACAAACATGTGGCAGGAAGGGGTAGGGCAGAATGAACAGCTGATAATATTGAAATGGTCAAGAGTTGACAAGGCACAAGAAACGGCAATTTATGACAAATAACACAGAATAGAGAACACACAGCACGCAAGCCATGAACGGAATACGAGAACCCAATGTGAGTGTGGCAGTATGCTTAGCAAAAGAAACTTACGCCGTCAACAAAACAGTGAAATGTGTTCTTCACATTTTTGCAAACCTACCTAAAGACAAAAAGCCTTAGTGTAGTATAGAATGAGTGATAGGGCTAAGGAGAAGGAGGAAGATTGTAAGGTATGAAGAAGAACTGAAAGAATTGAATGAGGATGTTGCGTACATTAATGAAATAAGTTGGTATAACAAACGACTGGTTCAACTAAAAGAAGAGGGAAATAATAGTTTAGAAGCAATGAGTACAGGAAGACTACTATCAATGATTCAAAGTCAACAAATGACAGCATCAACTTAAACTGCATTCAAAACTGTAAGAAGGCCATTGAAAACCTAACACATCACTAACTACCGTACTATAAAAAATGAGATGATGGTTAAAAGAGCCCTGGTATAGTAAGGGGTCATGACCATTCTAGATTGAAGCAGGTGCGAAAGTCGTAAGGACATCGACGAAACCTTCACGCTGACACTGATCAACAGTGTGCCTGATGTAAGCACTGGTAATATCGTCCTTTAACTGTTGTGAAAACTGTTGATGTTTGAGAAAGCGAGAAAACTATTTTGTTAAGAAGCATCATCATAGTAATGTTGAAGGTCAAACATGTTAGGAACACAAACTCCAACAGTTTATTAAATTCCGTCGAGGCCTCGGGCCCGAGGTGTCTAGGACCCGAGCTCAACGTGCGCCCCCTTTTTTGGCCCGGAATGGGTACTTTTTGTAGGCGACCAAGATCTGAAAGCGGACGGTTTGCCGGGACCAAAATGCCTTTTGGCACCCCCTTCATTCTCCATATCCCTCAACCCAAACCCTTTCTCCGCCCGCACTTGCCCGCAAAGCGTCCGGAGAACATTGCTTCCCCGACCCCTATCCCCAGCCCTACGCGTTTGCTGCCTGTATCCCACCCCCAAACCCACCTTTCCAATCCACTAAGTACCAGGGAGAAACAAGAAGCCTGAAGCAGCCTGCCAAAGTCCGGCAGCAGCGGGATGGTATCGGGTTTTCGGGCTTGAGGGTATTAGCCAGGAGTAATCACATGAGGAGGATGTTCCCTGATTTTTACAAGGGTTTTGGGATGTGAGGGTGGACCTACATCCCTGAGGAGGGTTGAGGACGAAGGCTTATATTGCGCTGCTGTAGCGCTGCTGAGTTGCATGTTTTAGGCTTAGGGTTTTTCGGGTCTGGATTCCCAATTTTCCCCCGAATGAGGAGAAGCCCTGTTAGATGGAAATCTGAGGTATGAACACAAAGCCTCAACGTAAGACAAACTAGTGTTGCTTGATATACGTAACAATCTGCAAAGGGCGGGTCTACAAAGGGCCTGCATCCTTCCACCTACGCCCCGAAGCCTAGGCCCTTACGGCTAAACATTTGTCGGTTCCGACTTGAGGCTGTCGGCACTCTACCTCCAGCACAGTGGACTTTCTCAACATTGGGGTCTTTTGTGCAACCCCAAACATATTGAAGCTCCTATAAATCCTTGCTATTATAAGGGTCCCCCAGACCAAACAAATCTGCAAGCTCCCAGGTCCGTCCACGTGTCGGAGTGCTGCTCCAGCAGTTCATCCGCGAAGTCCATGGCATCCTGCACTGAACAGGAGTGGTCGCGGTAGTCGTAGTCATAATGGTCTCAGCAGCAGCAACAGCAGCAGCAGCAGCAGCAGCAGCAGTAGTAGTAGTAGTAGCAGCAGCAGCAGCAGTAGCAGCAGCAGCAGCAGCAGTCGTGGTGGTGGTGATGGTAGTAGTAGTCGTGGTAGTAGTGGGAGTAGTAGTGGTGGTAGTGTACTACTACTACAACTACTTGGAAGTGGCAACAGCAGCTGCTGCTACTGCTGCTGCCGCTGCTACCGCTACTGCTGCTTCTCCTCCTGCTGCTACCATTACGACGACCACATCACGACAACAATGATAAACACTATCAGCTTCTCCTACAACTACTACTGCTACTGCTTCCACTGCTGCTACTGCTGCTAGTACTACTCCTCTCCCGCCTGCTGCTACTACTACTACTGTCCTCCGCCTGTAGCTACTCTGCTACTACTGCTGCTACTCCTACTACTTCTTCTTCTTCTCCCCCACCATTTGGCCAAAGCCATATTCCAATCATCTAGCCCAAACCCTAAGCCTTGCACCATCGGAGCCACCCATACATAACTCCTACGATAGTCCGCAATAGAATCCCCTATGTAAAGCCCCCCTTAAGGAGTTTGGACCCTAAACCCTTTACCCTATATCATCCCCTATGCAAACCCCGCCCCCTGCTCATCAGCTCCTGCAACAGAGCCGTAGCTGCGGGGTCCGACACCCCGCCCCTCGAGTCCAGCTGCCATTCCAGGGCCTCAGGACCAAGCGCAAGAGGCATGCTAGTAGGATTTAGGGTTAAGGATTTAAGGTTAAGGGCTTAGGATTGAGGGTGTAGGGTTTAGGAAGGGTTAAGTGTTTAGGATTGAGGGTTTAGGGTTTAGGAAGGGTTAAGGGTTAAGGGTTTAGGAATGAGGGTTTAGGGTTTAGGACTTAAGGTTTAGGATTTAGGGTTTAGGGTTTCAGATGCAAAGTTTAAGGTTTAAGGCGGAGGGCGGAGGCTTGGCTGAAGTCTGGACCCCATGTTTTCTTGCAGCCCATCCCCAACCCTTAGCCCACACGATCATCTGTCATCCCTCTACCTTTTGCGAGAGGCTTTCTGAATCCGCTACGTAGGTAGGTGTAGGGGTTTAGTGCTTAGGGAACCTAAGGCGTGGACGAGGTACTCTCACCCCAAAAATGCCCCATGTACACACTTCTGCAGACTCAAAGCTATGAAAATCCGGCGGGTACCTGTACCTGAAATCCTCAAAAACCGAATCCTGTACCCCACACCTTGAACAAAAAATCCTTGAACCACACACCCCCACCACAAATCTCCAAACCCTAGCTCCCGAAAGGAAACTCAAATTAATGAATATCTACCCCCAAAACGAACATGGAACCCCATATATCCCCATATTTAAAGAGTCTACAAGGACCAGTTTTCAGGTTCCATGGTAATTTGAGGGAAGGCAATCTCTCTGTCCTTGAGCCAGCTCTCTGAAACACAAGTCCTAAACACCCAACAGCTCAAAGATTAGAGTTTAGGCTTTAGGGCTTAGAGTTTGGGACTTCGCGTTTATTCGTGGCACGTTCACAAAAAGGTGCTGTCAGATGCCGCAAGCTCTTAACATCTTTACGCTACACTTTAAGCGCTACCTTCCTTGGAGGGTCAGGGGGCCTCAACAAATCTACACATAACCGATAACGAGCGAAATTATACTCCTTGTGCTTAACCTCCTTGCTGAGTCCCCTTTCACCTCTTTTCTGCATCTGAGCTAGCACACAACCAGACAAAAACTCCGCCCTAAACCCTAGACCCTAAACCCTTAACCCTACACTTCCTACGTTTGCTCTGGCTGTTAAAGATCCTACAAGCAAAGGATGCTGATTTGCGCACATCCCCAACGAAGATTGTGGCCTCAATACGTTCAGCTCGCGCTTCCGCCTGGGCCGTTTGGTGGGGGCGGGGAGGGAGGGTATGCGGATGTTTAGGGTGTGGGGGGGGTTTTGTGGCTTAGGGTTCGGGAAGCCCGATGAGACTTAGTACTTAAAACTAGGGTCCGGCTGCTACTCATGAATGCAGTTACCCGAATCAGGTCATTTCACGTCCAGATAGGTGTCAAGAACTTCTAGCATGCTTCACGCATGATGGCTTCATTGGGCTTCCACAATCAGAATAATAAGAACGGGTCAAGGTGACTTAGCAAACGGAGGGTGTAAAACTTGAATCTGTTTGAGTCATGCTGGGGCAGGAGATTCGAAGTTGAAACCAAGGGTCACGGTGAACCGTAAGTTGCTTCATGGATTTCAGGGTTTAGGGTTTAGCTCTGAAGTCCTTAAGGGCCCATACCAGGGGCCCATAAGTCCAACCTTGGAACTGAAACAGGGTTTAGGGGTTTAGGGTTTAGGGGAATGTCTGAGTATACCTGAACCCAATGTAGGACAAAACATTTTTCAATGATACTTCAGCAACCTAAGGCCTTCCAAAAATAAAAATCCCTCTACATACCCTCATTCTGGGGACTCCCCAAGAAAAGGGACCCTTAATTTCTCAGAAACGCCCACGCGGTGGGTTTCCCAAAACTAGGGCTCACTTTTTTAGGGGTCCCGTGGGAAGGTTTTTGTATTTTGGGGTCTGTATTGGGTTTCCCCTGATTATGGAAACTACCCGAACACCTGAGAGACTCAAACTTGGACCCTCAATCGCGCTTGCACATTATAATGATTGTTCATATCAGCTGGCAGCCGGGGGGGGCTTAGTGGTATGCCTAGAACTCCTACATAGGCCATGTACCAGCCATCGAGAGTCCCTATATGTCCCCCCTAAACCCTAAACCCCTACACCCCAAACCCCTACACCCTAAACCCTAAACCACTAAGCTTAAGCCCCTAAGCCCAAAAACCCTAAACCCTGCGTACACCTACATCTTCCCCCTAGACCCCTACCTGAAGCCACTAAGCTTGAAGCCTCCTCCAAGGTGTCGTGGAGCACCTCTTCGAGCTGCTGGATGCGAATCTCACGCTCCTAGCGGCTTAGGGCTTAGGTTTAAGGTTTGGGGTTTAGGGTTTCGGGTTTAGGGTTTCGGGTTTGGTGTTTGGGGGTTTAGGGTTCAGGGTTTCAGGTTTAGGGTTGGGGCTTAAGGATTCCAAGGTTTTTGGGCTTGGGGCTCACGGTTTGGATCTTCAAGGTTTGGGGTGTAAGGTTCTGACAGATGTAAACGTTAGTTGACAGAGTATATACGGCGCAAGATGAAGTCCATTCAGGAGAAATATCGAGCCCTCGACAACAACTCGCTACTCTCATGTGCATTGGCGATGCTGAGATGCTGAGAATATCGCCGGTGCTCTTGGTTATTTCATAGTTGTGAGATGTTGAAAGCTTCTGTCGGTATGAACCACGCAGCTGGCAAATGTGTGTGGGTGACAGGAACCAGCTGCACTACCAAAACACTGGCCTACAGTAACATCCCTAGAGCTGACATTAAAATATTCACAACTGACCCGATTGCAACCCACAATGCTGTTACAGCTGTACTTATTGAAATAGCGGTTGAATTTTGCTGTTGGACGCCATGCTGGTTGATATACACCCAAAACCATGATTGCTGATATCGGGCGCCGTGCCGGCAGAAGCTCGCTAAGCACGTCCAGCCTTGCCGGACTCGATGGTGTCTTCAAGCTCCTGCAGTTGGCTCGCTAGCACAAGCTTCAAATTCCGACTTCTGCACTGAACTAGCAAGAGGTGCTCGAAAGCAACTGTTAGATCTGGTCTAGTAACTAGTAGCTAGTTAGCACGGAATAGGACCCGGTTATCTGCATAGTTTCTTACGTGGTGAGCATGACCTTAAGTATTGTGAGGACCCAGCATGAACCATCTAAGCCTCTACAGCAAACATTCGATCCTGTCAGTTCCAGATGTCAACACATGCAATGCGCATGTATCATACATACCGCCCTCAAAGTCCTACGCGGCGTGTACTGGCAAATTCAGTAGCCGCAGTAGCCAATACAATTCAAAGCGTCTAAGCAAGGGCAATCAAAAGTTGTACAACTACCAATAGGGAAACGATGAACTTTGGCCCTAAACCCCCAACCCTAAAGCACAAACCCGTAACCCTAAACCCGAAATCCAAAACCCTAAAACACAAACCCAAAACCCTAAAACACAAACCCGAAACCCTAAAACACAAAACCCAAAAAAAACACAAACCCGAACCCCCAAACCCAAATTGCAAAAAAAAACTACCTAAACTCCAACCCCAAACCTTTCCCCCAACGCCCTTTGTTATCATTATGGCTACTAATATTATTACCAGCAATAATATTACCATTGTTACTATTACTACTTCATCTGGGACTGCCCTGCGCCTTGATGCGTGCAGACCGGTCGTAGGCTGCGCGAAGCGCCGCAGCGACGCGGTTCTCGAGCTCCTGCACCTGGCTTTGTCATGGTTTGTCCATAACTCAAGGGAGCTCATTCGATGGATTACACATAGAGGAATGGAAAACAAGACAGGCTCATTTATTTGGGGTTTAGGGGTAAAGGCCAGGGGGCTTCGGAAGTACAGTGTACTTATGACCCCTACCAGCCACGTAACATACTTGCCAGGGTGGGTCTAGGCGTAGGGCGTAGGGCAGGGGACATGGGGGTCACATAGATGTCTACCGGGGTAGGTAGGAATGCGTAGTAGGGGTCAGGGTAAGCTGCAGAGTTGAAGGTTTGGGGTTTCTTGCTACTTTGCGGGGTCTGCTTGAAACTGTCCAAGAGAATGCGCTACTCTGAGAAGCAGCCAGTGGGGAAAGGCAGTGGCCGCAACGTTGAAACAAAACCCCTGCTGGTAAAAACGATACTTCTTGAGATGCCCTTGTTTTGGACCAGAATGCTGAGAAAGAGAATGCTTCGAAACCATCACAGAAGTGGAGATGTTTCATGCGCCGGGTTTTTCCTAGGATGCGAGGAGAGCAAAGCTCACGGATTCCTGTTCTGCACAGCGTACTTGAGATACCACATTGGCTTTTGGATTGTTCGGCATGCTGATGATATACTTACTTACTGCTGATTTTTAGCTTCAAGAGGCACGGGCGAACTGTACAGAATGTTCTGCTAGCGACCTATACACTGGCATGGTTGTTGGCATACCTGTTTTCCTTACAACAGTTTTACGTGCAGCCTGGTTGCTTGTAGAGCTGTTGACCGCAAGGCAATGCTTATGCAACCATGCTTGCCACTGACCTCTGGAACTAGAGATAGGGCCCACACGAGCAAAACAAAGTTCCTGAGAAACCAGGAGCACTGCGGAAGCTTAGCATTTTAGGGCTTTGGGTTCATCTTAAAAATGTAGTCCATACATCATTCCTAAGAATAATCCCTATAACCCCTTCAACTTTCTGCTTCCGTTCTGAGTACCAAAGAGAAAGACGGTGAAAGTTCTACCGTTTGTAGAAATCACTGGTTCCTGTGGCGATTACTACTGATATGCACTGCGCCCCGCCATGCCTTGGAACTTTGCATGCCCTCCAGCTTCAGCTGATCCTCCTCAGGAAGGAACGAAACAGGAAAGCTTCAGGAGATGGCAACGACACCCAAAACATCTAGACTGCATATGGGCCCAAAGCACGATTCATTTTCAAGCATCCGAGTACTACTTTGTCAGTCTGCCCCAAGTCGAAATCGTCGTGCATGAGCTGCTGATATACAACAGCGCTTCCACTGCCGATGAGACTTTAGAACGCCAAGCCTCAACCTACTTGGAGGCTCATGTTGTGAACAGAGCTGCAAGTAAGCAAACCACCTAGACCCGAAAAACTATACCGCCCTCTTCGTTACCTTCCATCCGTGAACCTTTTAGATCCTCCAAGAACACCCACACCTGACGCCAAACTCGTCCATCTCTCTCAATGTGACCCAAACTGACGCCACAACTTGCTGGGGGCGTACTAGGGAATACAGGAATATAATCCCTATATAATCTTTGTATAATACATTCCCTTATTCCCAACTAACCTCCAGTAAGCCAAAGGGGGCCTCCGAAGGAGCCGCAGCACCCGCAGCGAAGGTGAGGCAGTCGGCCCAGTACTCTGCCTCCTGCAGAAGACTCGGGCTTATGGAAGCTGATGTAGCCCCCTTTCGAGAAGAAAAGAAATCTTTGCAGGCCCCTTTTGGGCATCCATGTTGAGAGTTTGGGGAGAGTTGAGGGTCTAGGGCTGTGGCTTTCAACTTTTCACGCCCAGACTTTTTGTAGCTGTTGCCTGTTTTATCCCTACCCTCGCTGTGTTGGCTTGACCTAGCCTCAGCTGCGGAACCCATCGCCCTCAACATGCCTGTCCACAAACTAGTCGACAGAGGCATCAGCAATCCATCATTCCTTTACAACCCCTAAGCTATAGTATAACGTAACAACTTCGATCTACTATAGCCCAATCGAACAGGCCCCTACGCAGAAACATCCAAGCAGTAGTAGCCACGGGCAGCGAGACAGAAACTGGAGGGGTTTCGGCAGTTCAGGGTTTAGGCAGGCATCACCCCAGGAATATACGGCGACATCTGCAGACTTTCGAAGTCCTCCAAAAAGCATGCTGCAACGACTATTTTGAATACAAAAGAAACGATCAAAGGATGTACACGTATACAGGGGTATGTATACGTATGGGCGGGGCGTAAAAACAGTTCTGCGGATGGCCACGCTCGGTAGAGGTGGCAGGCACATAAACAGCCGCAGCATCATTATAACAATGCTCTCTGTCTCTCTCTCTCTCTCTCTCCCCCTTCTGTCAGCCACGAACGTGCATGCCACTGCTGGACAAGCTCACACGAAAACATGCCACTACTGGGCATGCATGTAGTCGTACCTCCGAACTTAAAACCGCAAGCGCAAGATACGATGAAACCACTCTGATGGGAGGCTATTAGGTGCAATGCGCAACACTGCACGGAGGAAATCTTGCGATTTCATCATCTATCCACAGAGAGGAATGCAAGGAATGCTTCATTCCCCACTGTCCTCTGCGTCTTCAAACCACAACCTGAGCTTAGAAAACTGCTATGTAGAAGCGCGGACAAAAAGTAATCACACTGCTATGATCCTCATATAACAAGTAGAAAATGAAGCCCGACCAATACGATCCTTCTATAAAACTTTTCGCGCATATAATCAAACAAGGAATATGAGATGCACAGACGCCATGGTTAAGATGCAGCAAATACGCAAGAGCTACGTGCCGGCCGTCGGTACTGCCCTGATGCTCCCGCTCCCCGACAGTCTATACTATATTATGATGGTGTATATGTTGGGATAATGGAAAAGAAAGTGCAAAACACTACAAGTATAATAGGGAGTATATAGGAATTATAGGGAAGATATTGGGGGTATGTTGGGATTGTGGAAAAGCAAATGGAAACTACTTTGGGGTTTACAGGAACAATGGTCAGGGCCAATTTCATCATCTCAACCATTCTCCAACTACGCGGGTGCGGGGGCAGTATCCCACCTGCCCTAGAGCCTGCAGTTGACGCTACGCTTTAAAACCCTAAACTCGCAACCCAAGCCCTAAACCCTCAAACCCTAAACCCTCAACCCTGCCAGTAAAAAAACAAGTAGCGAAATCGACGAATCTTGGAGTTGCACAAGAACTACGGCAGCCTGGTGCGTGACTTCAGCACCTGCTTACTGCTTAGGGTTCAGGGTTTGGGGTGTAGGGTTTTAGGGTTTAGGGTTCAAAGCTTATTACCATTACTTAGGGATTGGGGTGTCATTTTGAACCCAAAAGTTTGAACTTTTGAGCTTAAGGAAATTTGAGGAGTCTAAGTAATGGTAAGTTTATATGGACTTGAGAGTTTAGGGTTTAGGTTGTAAGGTGTTAGGGGATTCAAACTTACAATCATGCAGGACGTTCGTATACTAGAATACGATACTTCCCCAGGTGTAACACATTTAGTAGCAACCGTATGCGTACGTGTGCCCTTTAGGTCCCCGAGAGCTTGGATAGGCTTGAGCCCCGATAAACGGCTTTGTAGGGATAATGTAGGGCTTGGTAATAGACAGTCTTAAATGATTCTCGGACCTACCCTAAAACCCCTAACCCTAAAGCTGAATCCTTGAAGCCTCAACCCTAAAAGGGCTTTTGGAAGCCCTCCGGCCTGAAATCGCGATGGTTTCTTCCGGCGGCCCGGGAGTGGAGTTGAGGAACAGCTGATCCGTAACCAGCGCCAGGTACTTGACCTGCACTCGAGTATATAGGGGTCATGCGAGGCTTTTGTGAGGGTCGAATAGGGATGATATATAGGAATTATACGGGCTATGAAGGGGTTAAATAGGGAAATGGAGAAGAAAATGGAAGCTGCTATTGAGGATAGAGGGTGTAGTGCTTAGGGTCTAGGGTTAGGGATTATGTCCCCCGAATGGAGACTCAAATGGAATAGGGAATGGAAAATGAAATGGACGCTGTCCTTATTGCGTGCTTCTAGGCTTAGGGGGCTTGCGGCCGCCTCCGCCACAAGGATGTCCGTTTGGCAAAGGCCCCTTTGCTTTGAGTCCCTATAGCAGGGGTAACAATATACCGGAAGTACAAAGAGGCCTCCCTTTTGTGAATACAGCCATCTGGTCACTGCAAATCGCCCGTAACTACGCAAGGTAATGATACTCGTGATGATGACTGTGCGCATTGCTTCCGCTAACAACACGGAAGCCCTAAAGCCCGACAAGGTTTGCAAGCTGAAAAAGTTATTTGATTTCCCAATTCGACATCAAGTTCGTCTTGACATGTCTTGACTACTTTTGATAGGTGGCAGGGCCTAAGAATACATGGAATCTCCTTGTTGCATCCAGGCTCTGAAGCATCGCTGGAAGCAATCGCACTCTTTTTCCCAAGATGCTCAGCTCGCGTCTAGTGACTAGTGAGAAGAGCCAAGGGTTTGCAAATGCTTTTTGTACAATTCCAGCCCTTCAGAACTTCAGAGTCCGAGCTGTCCCGGCAAGTCGGTGTACTTGTCTCCGAATGTTGCCTCTTGAACACACATGCCGATTGTTGCCATCATAGCCAGGCGTCCGTTGTTCAACTCCTTTGTCTTCATTTCGTCTGAGGAGCCAAAGAACAGGCCGAAGTCGCAGGGGTCGCCGAAGTCACCTGCAAATTGCTCAGGGTAATCCCGAACATAATTCTGAAGAGAAATCCCATTGTTCCCATCATTGTACCTCTACATTTGGGAAATTCCGTCCGGAACCCTATTTGGGGAGCCCCCCCACCTGGGCTCTTGGCATATCCATCGGCCCAGGGCCCAAGCTCCAAGAAGCCACAGAAGAAGGTCAAGGCAACACAGCCCTTCGCCCCGATGGGATCTGAGAAGCCAGCAGCGCCGGCGCCAGCATTCAGCGGCGTGGCCCAGTGCGCGGCAAAGGATCCCATGATGGCCAACATGGCCACACGTCCATGCTTCACTTCAGAGGCACGGAACTTGTCGAAGCGCTCCTGCGTGCCGCTGAGGCCCAGCGGATCGAAGTAGCCCAAGGGTGCTGAGGCACCTGGCTGGCTGGCTCCATCAAAGGCCCGGCGGCTGCTGAGGCTGCGATTGTTCTCCCGCTTCATTGACACGCCGCAGAAGCCACTGGAGCTGCGGGCCACGGCTTTGGGTGCCACAGCAAACTGTGAGACGGCAGTAGTTCCGGTGTACAGCTCCGCACTGACGATGCCCAGCCAAGCGAACATAGCAAAGCGACCGTTGTTGAGCTCACGGTTCCTGGCTCTTTCCGCAAGTTAAGTTCTGCTGTAAACGCCCCAACATGATCCCATCCCAAAACAAGCGGAATCTCGATAGCTTCGGGACCGCTCAATGTGCAGTGGGCCAAAAACACGCGCCCAGCAGCGCTTCTTTTGGTAAACATTTTCAGGAGGTATGGAAGCCGTGGCATTTCTGGGACTTGAACGGGTTCAGTTTGGGCATGGATCATATGCTTTGGACAGTATGTTCGCGGGGGTAAACTTGCAGGTGGATCTTCTGATGGTTTGGCCACGGATGCAGCGCTGGCAAATGTTCTTGGGGATGGACGCTATATGGTTTGGGCACAGCAGCTTTGCCGAAATGCATGGTGGGTGCCAACGTGGATTCAGCGAAATCGGCAGTTTCAGACGACGAACCAAGAGCCGCCATAGGTCGTTTCAATACTTTTGGCTCTTCCGAACAATAAAACTACTTTCGCACCACGCTTATACTTCGCGTTGCTCACTTAAGCAATGACCGCCCTGGATTTGAGAAACCCTGTCCTGATGTCGTCGGTGATGTTACCCTTGGCCAGGTTCAGGGGGTCGCCGTAGTCACCTCACAGGGCTTCGTTGTTCCTTGTAATGGGGTTTAAGGTAGGGTACCTTCCTTGATTGCCCCATAGTAGGTTGACCCCATATGTGCTATAGTCTAAACTCCTGGTATGCCCCTTAATAACCCATAATGTCAACTTCGGATGTTAAAGGGTGTCGTATTACAGCTAAATCAGGCCTGAACGGAAGAAAGAAAAAGGGGGTCGTATTAAAGCTAAACCCGAGCTGAACGGATTGATAACAACATAGGAACGGAATAGTGCATGCTAGCTTCAAATCAGTTGAAATTTAATTAGAATTCTATATATTGGGGCGGGTTTTAATATTCGGGGGAAGGGATTTATTCATATTTAATTGCAAATATGTCCCAAGCCTTAGGCCAGAGGGCTTAGCGCGTAGCGTTTAGGGTTTATGGGTTCCTCTGGGATCCCCCCGCCAAACAAGTTTTCCCGCACTTGCTTGGGATCCCCCGGATTATTCTGACCCCTCTACTTGTTTGGGGGGGGCTTTATAATCAGAACCCCCCCTGAGTAGTCGCCTATATAATCCTTCCGTAACCCCCTTTAAGGACTTTAGATTATAGCTCATATCGCGTTACAAGGTTTTGCGGGTTTCGCAACGTTTGATTGGCTTCTGCTTTGCTAGCTCCCTGTCTCTCATCCCTTCCCCGTAACATTAGACACCCCACCCCACCCCCGGCAACTCTAGTATGATTCTGCAGGATTCTAAGCATCAACAGTATGACTATGAATATTACGACGCCTATATGACTAGTACTATCGGATTCAAAGCATCAACAACCGTCGTCGTGAATGGGGGGACCCCTTCTCTACATTGCACTTTGCTATAAAATCTTTGATAAGTGTCCTTCAATAGGGGGGGCCCTGATTTTTTGGGAACCCTAAACCCTATATGTCCCAACATCTCCTTCATTCTCATTATATTTATATCCCCTATAACCCCTTTGAAGGAGCCCCTATGACCCTAACCCTTTAGCCCTAACCCTAAACCCCTAGTATCCCCGCCTGGGCTCTTGGGGTCCTCCTTCCATGGGCTGAGGCCAAGCTCGAGCATGCCGATTGCGACGAAAACAATCCACAAGCCTGACTTGCAAGATCAGTCGCTGTCAGTTATGGGTTTATGGTTTGGGATCTAGGGTTTAGGGTTTGGAGTTCAAGTTTTAGGGTTGGGGGTTTAGGGTTTAGGAAGCAGATGAAGAAACCCTAGAAGCCATATGATAACCCCAGTTATCCCCACTATGAACCTGCGGTAATTACTAAGTTTCTCTGGCTCTCCAAGTACCGGTAGTCACTAGGGAATGGCAATGCAATGGGAAGTGCTATTTCAATTTTAATTAGGGTTCAAAGTTTAGGTTTAGAGGAGATGGGGGCCGGGATCCCTACACTAGACAACCACCCTAAACCCTAAATCCAAGATCCCTGTAATCTCCGCTTCAGGGACCCTCGATCCCTGGAATCCCTATAAACCACGTTTGAAGAGATCCCTATAATCCTTATAAACCCCTTTTTGAGAAACCTATAATCCCTGCACACCTCTTTTTAAGAGATCCCTATATAATCCCTGTAAAACCCCTTTTTAAGGGACCCTAGATTCCTTAGTTCCTAAAGGAAGAAGCTGAGAAACTGTTGGCTCCAGGCTCCGTCCATTGCGCGGCCAAACCGGAAGGCACGCCCTCATAGCCTGGAAGCTTGTAGACGCTCTGCACCTGGGTTGCCGATAAGGAACTTAAATCCCTTGAAAGGAGTCGACTATATAGGGGTCATATAGGTTGATGGGACTGCGGCCATGTACAGATTATACAGGCTACCATAGCATGGATATGTTGCAAATGCTGTTTTTTGACATGTCCAAGGCACAAGCATGCCCAGCGCACCCATCATCGCCGCACGGCCATGCTTGATCTCACAAGCACGCAGCCGCGTGAACTCATCCTCATCAACATCCTTGGTGAACCCGGCTGGGTCGAAGAAGCCGAAAGGTGGCGTGACGCCAACTTGGGAGCTGGCATCGAAAGCCTGGCAAGTGACAGCAGGGCGAACAGGCTTCTTCCCTGCTGCAAAGGATGCCACAGCAGCGGCGCCCAGGGCGCCAGCTGCACAGGCGGAAGCACTTGGCCCGGCTCTGGAGGTCGGCTCTGCCACCCGCAGCTGCTTCTGGCCAGGCGTTGCTGGCGTCGAAGGGGCCAGGAAGGTAGGCACCAAGGTCAAACCTCCAAGGGCTACCGCGGCAGCACCAACTCGGCTCATGGCTGCTAGGCCCACAAGGCTTCAGACCTTCAACTCTACCTGAGGAGAAAAAATGCCCTCGGCATCCCCGAAATGCAGCCCTTGCACACACTGGCATGCATAGTTGCGCCTCCATCCCTTGGATTACATCACCTCTTGTCTGCTCCTTCCGGTAGGGTACCCTATACGGACCGTCAAAGAAGGGGGCAGCATTCTGCCCTTGCACAGGCCAATGCCCATTCAGTATTACTTCAAGGCTGCTGGCACTACACTCCACACCCCAGCGCATATCCTAAACCAGCATCAACCCCACCTGAGAGCTCATGGGCAGTGATATGGGCAGTACTTTGTCGGGCCCTCCATGTATTAAAAACGGTTGTGAGACGTCTCCCTAGCTCCAACCCAACTCAAGGCTACCATTTATAGTATATGGTGTGGAGTTTAGGTACCCGTGATCCTCCAACGAACTCTTTTAAACCCTGGGGCTAGACGTATGAGAATAGCCAACACAAGGGATGATGGCAAGTGTGTTGACATCCCCCTAAGCCTGTTTTAAACCCATATGAGCTAGTCCCTCAATAATATGGCTTCTAATGACAGTAGCGCATATGAGGCGGCTGAAGGGGCATTGGCTAGAATCCAAGCTTTTGCAGCCCAACACCTCAAGATTCCTGCGACGGCCCACATGGAGATTAGTGAGTGCGTAAGTACTGAACATCGGGCTTTAATATGTAATCCTCCTAGAAGAAGGCATTAAAGGGATTACCCTGTTACAGGTAGGAAGTAGGGTCATAACTCCTGTTCTCTAGCTCTAACTGGGCCCCATGAAGCTCCAAGCAGGATGCAACAGCTGGCCTCACCGCAACGCTCTCGGCCAGGGCTGAAACATCTTACCAGGGGGCAGTTTCGGTCCACCTCAATTTTGGATCTTGTGGACATGCATCTTCATTGAGATTTTTCTGGGATTCTACTGAGGCGTGTGGGCTTAATAATTGGAACGAGCATAGGATAGGGTCATGAGCCCTGCATAATACAGATGCTTTGGATTCTGCTGTTGCTGCGGTGCTCGGGCTGAACCTAAGTCGGGTCACTTTCGGGCGGCTGCGACGATGGGGAGTAAAAATCTGTCCACTGTGCAAAGTCCATGAGTCTACGCGACCGTTTACGCCCATATCGCTCACAGAGTACAGGGAATGTTTTGCTTAATGCATAGAATCACCTGAGACCATGCCCACATATACAAAGACTACATGGATTGCAAATCGTGTCTTCGTCGAAATCCATTACTTGAATTCATACGGGTGAATGGCTGTAGAGCCAGGAATATATCAGCAGGGCCTATTGACTGCCACATCCTGTCAGATTAGGTTCTTCATCTGGCCCCAGTTCTCCAAACAAAGACTTCAAAGCTAGCACACCGAGGTTTCCCGAAGTCAGGGGTATTCATGGGGCTCCCCATAGGGTGCCTATATTAGAGCCCTCCGTTTGGAAAGTTACCACATATTCTGGCCACCCTGGGGGATCGAGCCGCTATATTTGGGAACTCCAAACTTGAGCAACGCAACCTTGGTCAACACTCTGCACGCTCAACCCATGCAAAGGACCCCTTTACCGCAAACCCGTAACAAGGTTAGCTGTGAGGTACAGAAATCTGTGTAAGGCCGCATTTTATACGCCAAGTCCAACCTCAACGCTATCTTTCCTACGATAAGGTACTCAGGGTCATGCAGGATTGTAATGTCGACCGCAAGTACGACAGAGTTTATAGGCTGGGGTTTAGGATATGGGTTGCAGGCAGGCAGGCAGGCAGGCAGGCAGGCATGAAACAATTGTTCTATCCATCGTTCTGACAACAAAGGGCTGTGGTTTCTAATTACTCGGGTTGTAACTTGAGCCGCTCTCTCAACCAAACTGTACACTGCAGAGTCTGGAAGTAGCCCTTCAAGGTACACTGGTTGCTCCAAAACAAGAGCTCAGTAGAAACCAGGCTGCATAGGGGAGGTCGCCGTCCTAGTCGCTTCAGCACTAGGAAGGCGGGCTTTGGGGTTTCAAAGGTTTAGCCTTTCTGGGGTGTAGGCGATCTGCGGATAAAGGGGTTTTATGTTGTAAGGGTGTTAAGGGGCGTTGCGATGGGCACGCTGCTCTGTGAGAGCGCGTTTAGGTGCTGGCTCAAGTGTTGGGGGGTTAGGGGTTTAGGAGTTGGGGGGGTTTAGGCTATGTTTTCTTTCGGGCTGTCGTGGGGCTTGCATGGCAAAACAAGAAGCAAGGTAGATAATCCCAGATCGGGGCTTTAGACTTACCATGCTACCCTCAATGATCCAAATGAGGGAATGATGAGGGATTGCACTAGAAGCTTCATAAGCCTTCGTAACGAGGGGTTACTGGGTTATCTTGGTTATAACCCTATTTATAAATCAAATAATGTTGGCATTAGGACAAGGGCTATAGGCCCAGTTCCAAGTAGTTGCTGGACTTTTAACAGGAGAATTTTTTTCGGGAGAGCCCGGTAGACCCATCACAGAAGTCTTGAATTTTCTTCATCTTATAAAGCAGCAGAAACACTGTTCGTACTTTTAGTAGGGTTAGATACAAATAGCAGTACAGACTTAGTTCAAGTAGACTCCAGGAAGCAATCTTACCACCAATGCCATGGAGGTAGAGCTACTTGGAGGTTCATAGCTAACTAGTTCTTAGGCTGACATGTGACTGGGATTTCTCAACAGGAGGGGGGGGGTTGTTTGGGGTTGATACGGGTCTGCCTTGAAACAGCTTTGAGAAACTTTCTTGTGAATATTTGGAATGCGCTAGGCCAGGCCCCGCTTACAACCAAGCCATGTAGCTACACGGATTGCCTACTGCAATGATTGGGCCCCCTTAATTACAGAGTCATCCTCCCATCTGGACATCCCAACGCATCCCCAGAGCAAACCTACCTACAGCCCTTGTAGTTCTCATAGAGAACTCAAGATTGCACGAGAGATAGGGAGGAATGTGATCGTCTTCCCAGATGCAACATAGGGGTGCTACGAAGATCAGTACCCTTTTCAACGGGGTCTTTTTTCTTCAGCGAGGTCTACACCTCTCGGCTGCCGCTAATCCAAGATTTTACAATGACCCTTGACTAAGTCCATACTAGAGCATGAGTCAGTCATAGATATCCAAACATCTGCAGCACCGTGACCTTTCCTTAGCAGAAAGCTCAAGCCAACACAAGAACACCAAGATGAATTCGAGGCCTTTTGGGCAACTTGCAAATACACCAGGGTCCTGCAGGTCAACCTTCAGAGACCCTCAAAGCAGCATCCAATCTGATTACGGCAAGTATAATGTCCCTGTTGAATCCTTTTTTTCGGAATCTTTTCCTGGAGAAAGCAGAAATGTGACCCAACCCATTTGAGAACCCCTTCTCCTCAGATCCTCACTCTCAAGCCAACGTAACACCTACATGAACCCTACAATTATTTCCTCTGAAGAGATTGGCGAGGTCCTCGCGAGTTACACGTCGCTTTGGCTTCTTCCAACCCAGGAGGACCTTCTGGTCGTAATATGCATGATCGATTCAGACTTACAAGGATTTGGTGCTTTATGTCTTTTGGATGTAGGGTTTTGGGGTTGTAGGGCTTCTTAATTGTGACAAACATGTACTACTAGTGGCAGTTTGCAGGAGCAAGTGCTTTCTACACCCCAAGTAGTGTTCACAGGATATGGCGGCCAGCTTTATGACGTATACTGCCCCAGACTCCCTAAAGTATCCAAAAAATGAAATCCCCGCGATATGCACCCATTGCTGCATTGCATTGGGGAAACTAGGGGGTTGTTACGGGGTTCCATTCTTTGGATCCTTTAGGGGGTCCGGGTACTCCTGAACCTCGGGGTATGGGGCAATAGCAAACGAGATGTCGTCAGCATGGTGGGAATTTTGTCGCGGCCCATTTAATGATGACAACTGTCTTGGTGGTGTATGTGGTGTCTAGGGGCATCCCTGGTGACAAAATTTGCTGATCTCCGCGGTAAGCGCTTGCTCTGCCACATGCCCCGGCTTTACTGCAGCATGCATGCTTCTCGTCCACAAAAGCTGGAAAGTGCTGCGGGACAGCGCCTGCACGGTGTCGTTGACAGTGTCTGATCCCTGGCATGGGGAACCATGAACGATTTCCGAGAAAGAGGTACCCCAACATAGGACCCAAATATACGTAAATCCGTATAAAAGGGACTCCCAAAAGCGGGCTCCTCAATTTTGGAAGCTCCCATTTAATTAGCAAGTTCAGCTTTAGAGCCTCCCACAACTTCAAGTGCTGGCAGTTGCATGCGGGCATGCATTAATGTGTCAGGAAGTCTTGGTGGTAGTTGGTACGGAAAGGAGGAATGGATCCCCACGGTAAACCCGATATGCTGCCCCACCTTAAGTAGCTTCCATTCTCTTTTCCTACACCCTACCAAACCCTCATTCCTATATCCTAAGTGGTAGTGTCCTTGAAATCTTTTCCCTTCCTTCATCCCTTAGTAACAAACAGCAAGGAGTTCATGCAGCAAATGCAGCCTTGGCATATGCAGCACCTCCGGCAGCAGCGCAAATCAGCGAAAGCGTCTCAATCACCATGGCAGGAGACAATGCAAGGCTTGCAGGAAACTGCAGCTCGTAGAATAAGGCCAGGAAAATTAACAGTAACAACTAGAATTACAGTCATAGTAACTATGAAAATGACACTCATGGCACTTATACGTTTCATCATGTGCATCTTTCAGGCTGTCTTCAAGACTGAGGGTCTGGTAGAACAAGTGTGGGAGAACCCCCAACAAGCAAGCTACGTGATGCATATGTAACACTGGAGCTGGTCGCAGAGCCAGGAATGCAAAAACGGCGCAGTTGACCTTTCTCGGCAAAAACGCAGTAGCTTCGGATTCGGTTGTTGAAGCTACATGGGAGGTTGTCTCGGCACAACTCCAAACATCAAAACGCAGCAAGAGGCCAGATCTATATTCTGATAAGAACTGATAAGAACCTCAATGTGAGGCGCCGCAGCCCAAGAGGGATCTCACTGGCCACCTACCCTCCCCCAAACCAGCATGGAACCCTAAATGGGGGTCTCTAAGACTCAGTTCCCTTTAGCGGTGGCTACACATTAGTTTTGGAAGGATAAGCGGGCAAGCTTGAGCAAAACTCAACGCGAACTGCCGTGATCAGCTTGACGATGCCTCAATCCTTCCTCCAGCCCATTGACGAGGCCATTACCCCACAGAAGCCCTAACAGGACTCCGCAAGCCCCTTGTAATCCCCAATTTTCCCAGAGGACCCCCATTCTTGAGAGACTCCCTTGAAGTGTATGGGGAGTCCCAGGCTCAGCACCCAACTGTATCAGTCCAACAGCTACCAACTAAATTCCCCTAGACATATGATAGAAAATAGTATTCTTCAAAGTTGTAACCAATCCTTACTAGGGTTCATGGCTTATACGTCCGGGGCCCCAATCCTCAACCCTGAACCTTGCACCCCAAATCCCATAAACTGCTTGCCCTTGGCACGCTGTAAGCAGATTCCGGGTGATCCAAGAGCCACGGTGCACTGCCTGCCAGACATCCCGCATGAGCGTTGGCGCCTAACGCTTGCCCAGCAGCATGCAATAGAACAGGACTTTGTCCATCCTAGGCCTCATTTCCGAGATATGGTTGGTATCCTTCTTAAATGGTCATTCCTATCCGACATTGTGCTCAAGTATGCACAGAAAAGAAAATTGAATTTCAGTGGGAACCCAGATTACACAAATGTCTCGGAGAGCTCGAGTAGAACCAAAGTGATCCCTATCTTCTTAATATGCTCGAAGCTCATGTTCCCCACCCTCGTAAGACGAGCAGACGGGATGAGGCCCAACGCACACGTTGAGAGAGATAACCTCAAACTACAATCGACGTGCAAATTTACTCTGAAACTCTGGACCCCTGAACAATGAAACCCTGAATCCGAAACCTAAGTCCTAAACCCGAAGCCCTATACCCTGAATCCTACAACCTAAGTTCAAAACTTAAGACATCTTAAGACCTAAACTCTCAATCCTAGCTGGACTAAACTTGGGGGGTTTGTCTACCATGCATTGCTTGAACCTTTCTGCGACTTGTCTCTGGCTGAGCAGAGTGGATCCGTGACACTCTTACATTGGATCCGTGACCCTACACCCCCGAATCGATATAGTCCCCCTTAAGCAGATAGAATATAGCTCTGGGCATATTATAGTAAGATCCCCACATACTCCATGTTCTATCTACTTAAGGGGGACTATAGTCTTCAACGAGCCTGCCGAGTGGTTCAGCACCTTGAGATGGGTTTTTTTTGGAATTTTTTTGGGAATTACTTTAAGGTTTGGGGCTTAGGGTGTGGGATTCCATGTTTGTCTTGAGGAGTACATGTGGATTTCCAGATTTCTGGGACCACTTTGGGACTTCCTCATGTTGAGGACTCCGCTAATTATGTCCTCTGGGGTATACCAGAAGACCCCTGTTTGTTGAACCTCCCATATAGCTGGGTAAGACAGGGAAGTAACACACAAATGGCTGGGTCGACGTTAAGGAACTTAAATTATTTTACCATAATGGGTTTCTATAATAGCAACCAAAATGGCACGGCATTTAGGGCATAAGGTTAAGCACTTTGTGGTTAGGGCAGGACCCAAGGGCTGAGGGCTCAGCGCTTCTCAGCGTGTAGAAAGTACAGCCTCTAGGGCTTGGGCTCAGGGTTAGTTAAAGAAAGACTTGAGCTTCGCATATCAAGCCGACAAAACCTACACCTCAAAACGAAAAGAAACCACAAAGGCAATGAGAAACAACCCTGCTACCATAAACCCGAAACATTAACTATAGCAATACTAAATGCTCAGACTTCTACAGAACACCTGGGATACTGCAGTCACCCAACCTGTAGTACAGGTAAGGTCCTATGTCCTATATGTTGTATCCAAAGCGCACTCCAAAACACTGGAACTTCATTCTGCTGTGCCAGGCACAATGTCAATGGCAGATAGGAGTCCCAATTCCTCCAGAGCTTCCTTGCCACACAGCTGAGGGTTGAGGAATTCAGTACCAAGCTTTGGGGTTCAGGCTAGGCCCGGCTAGTGATTACGTAATGATTAAGGCGATTCAGGTCTAGACTTCAGGCGGTTTGTAGGTCCGCCCACCAATGGCATAGCTTGAATACTGTTGAGTCTAAGACCTTGCTAGATTGTTCCAAGTAAGGGCCGCCAGAACCCTGGGGTCCCCAGAGGGACATGGTTTTCCTCAAGTGCTGACCAGTAGCCACGGACTTCGCCACCACCTGCATCCTGAAACACACAGTGCGCGCATTCCAAAATTCAGGGTCTGTTTCTGCGTCTTCCTCTGACTATATAGTAAGGGAATACGTAGCCACTGCATCGTGTGCGTAAAGGTGGTGGCCCGACTTTCACTACTTTGACCGCATGCACTTGCGTTCACTCTTCCGGCGGAGGATGAGGCAGAACAGGCAAAGCCGCAGTGGTGCTGGCGGGAGCATTCGTGCTCGTGGACCGCTGTGGTATCTGCATGGTGCGGCTCAGCGTGGTATTGTGGGGACTTCTTCCATCAGCACGTTTCCGATGACGTGTCTTCAGCCCAAAGGCTGTGTCAGGTTTGGCAGGTGCATCAGTTGACAAGCTTCTTGAAGAGCGAACGGCCAAAAGTTGAGTAGTCGGTTGCTGGGTTCTGCCTCTGAAGTACTTCTGGCTGCTTGCGGCGTCTTACTGGGGTTCGGATTTTGAGGTTAATTTGCTAGGGGAACTCTGGGCCGGAGAGCACTTGGCTGGCATTTCGTGGGTGCCCTGTCTCTGCAACGGGAGCAGCGTTTGGACCGGCTCTGGTTAAAACCTCCCAGCCTCTAGGGTTTAGGGGTTTAGGGTGTGCAAGTTGACGTGCCCAGGTCAACTTCGGGGCAGAGCAGCACACACGAAGTGAGTGCCGCCAGCCATATCCGGCCCTGAGGTAGCTCCTTTCATAGTGACACTTTTTCCGCCATAGGTGCTTGCGCAACGCAGCTCTGGAAAAGGATTCTGTGGCCTGCAGAGCAGCTTCTTCGTCTACCAGGCAGGGCTCTTGCATGGTAGCGGAGCCATCAGGTGGCTCCAGGGAGGATTGAGCCCAACTCCGTTGATTTGGAGGTTGACTGGATCGGTCAAGCCTTGTGTGGAAGAGTACCTGCCTGGTAGTCGAGGATGACAGTTACTCGGAGCAGAGACGGGATCCCGTCCTGGAATGGTGGTTCCACCTCGTGGTCAGAGTACCGGCGAGCGGCATTGCTCTATGTGGAGACGACAAAGTGGGAGTCGAGATACCTCTGCGGACCCCGACTGGCGAGTGAGCTTACGGGGCCAGCTCGCACCTCGATAGCCAACAAGAAGCCATCGTGGTTGTCTACTCCTGAAGGGGTTAACCGTCTCCTACTACATCTCCAGAATGCCATCTCGGAGCCCGTACTGCCAGAGGTGGGAAACACCTTGCGTGCTTACTTTAAGCACCTGCGGCGCCGAAAAGGCGAGACTATGACGAGCTTCTGCGTGAGACATCGTGAAGAATACGATCGCGTGTGCCGTGCCTTGTCCCGGATGGTCAAGACGCAACAGGCAGACGTCCAGAAGCCGATGAGAGGCCAGCGCCGACAAAGCTGGCAGAGTGCATTGGGGCACTCGTCAAATACCTCAGGGCCGGAGCCAGCGCCCCGGGCCAATGAACATCCAGCATCGAGCACTGAAGGCTCAGAAGAAGCCCCAGTGCTGCAAGGGAGTCTGGATGCCAGCGGACCCGCTGACGACGGAGCCAATGATCCTTGGCAGGAGTGGCGCCAACACAGTGGTCGCACTTGGAGTGAGCAGGGTGATGCTCACTGGACATGGAGTGGCCGATGGTCAGACCGCCACTGGAAAGATCAGTCTTGGCAACAGTGGGAGCCCAGCGATGATGAGGACGACGAGGCGATGGTGGACATCCTTCCTGACATCATTCAGGGCTGGTTGCTTCTCGAGAAGGCCGGCCTGGACGACCTCGAGAAGAGCATCATCCAGTCTGACATCAAGTCCAAGTTTTCCTTGGAAGGCGTGGAGAACTCTCTGAGAGTGCACTGGACCGATGGCCAAGTCCGACGGCGAGATGGTTCAGATAAGCGGCAACAAGCCAACTTCGGCGGCATGGAGCTCGACTTCGACGACGAGGAGGGCCCACCAGAATGGGATCATAGCTACTTCGAGGGCTGGGACCCGGAGGACATCGCCGTGTTCCAAGAGGCCTACGAAACCGAGCAAGAAGCATGGGCACAGATCCAAGAAGGACGCCGCACTCTCAGAGATGCCCGGGAAAGGCAGAAAGCTGTCCGCCTGGGAAGGAAGTTCTTTTCGCCAAAAGGAAAGGCCGGGGCCAGTTTCAAGGATCGAAGGGCCGCTCGGGTCACGAGAGTCGAGACCATGGACCTCGTGGACCATGCCTTCGGTGTGGAAAAGGACATCCAACCCGAGAGTGTCCTCAAAGACCTACAGGCGAGAACAAAAAGGTCCTCCAGGTGGATGAGCAGTCCGAGTTCATCTGCTTTGCCGAGCACCAGGATGCCTCCATGTTCGGCGATGTGGCGGATGAGCAGGGCTTGCACCAGGACATGTCCAAGATGACCACCTATGAGGCCATGACTAAGGGCTATGGCGTCTTGGACCCAGGGGCGACCCGCACGATGGGATCTATGGTGGCGTTGGAGCATGCCCGTGAGGCAAGCATGGCGCTGCAGAATCGTGACAATGTCTTTGAGGTGAACCTGGATGACAAGCCCACCTTCGGCTTCGCGGACTCGGAGTCGGCGCAGTGCAGCTCAACTGTCCTGCTCCAACTCCCCGTGAGTGACCACAACCTCAAGTTGCGAGTACACGCACTTGACAAAGGAACAGTTCCTGTGTTGCTCAGCATTGACACGCTTAAGAAGTTGCATGCTATAGTCGATTATGGGAACAATGAGGTTGTTTTCTCCAATGTTGATCCTTGTAAACGTGTCAGTCTTGAGACCACAGCTACGGGCCATCAAGTGATCCCCCTTGCAGCTGATTTCATGAGCGGGGCACAAATTTTGGAAGCGCCTGTCTGGTGCCTAGGCACCCCTCTGTCCGAATAGGATGGCAGACTCAGCTCAGGACCGCCTGTACCTGGGTGTGAGGCCAGTGACAAAGAAGAGGCAGGCAATCCCAGTTTTTGCACTCATGATTTGCATGTGGAAGGGGATCTCCACCAGCAATCAAAACGTGAAACCTTGAATCCGCCGTGTAACGATTCTCCTCAAACCAGTGCCCCCGTAGTTTTCCCTGTGCCTGAGGAGCTTGCCAACGTAGGACAGCATGTCAGGACCTCATGTCACGATGGGAGTGAAAGCTCCAAGCGCATGCACGAAGGCGGAGTGCATCGCCGAGTTGACTTCCTTTGGCCTCGAATGCTCCCGAGACCCTGACCCCCGTCGAACTCAGGGCGATGGTCAAGCGGAATCGGATCGAGCACGGGTACATGCGTGCGAACACCACCGATGCCGACGACATGATGAACAGGATCCTCAAGGGGAAGCTCTCGGAGTTGAAAGTGTTCGCGGAGGAGCACAAGATCAACTATCCCGAAGGGCTCTCCCATGGGGAACTTCGACTCTACCTCCGCAAGTGGTTGTATCGCAGCGGGACCGAGGACCAGGAGATCAACTTCGGCCGCCATCGGGGAAAAACCTTCCTCCAGGCCTTCCAGCAGGACGAGCAGTACTTCCAGTGGGCGCTGACCGAGGTCAAGACCAAGCCGACCGCCGGATGGCAGCTTGCGCAGCTGGTGACTTGGGCAGTCTTGGCGGAGCACCTGGAGCTTGGCGACCTGCCGATGGAAGCCCGAAAATGTGCTTCAGGAGGTCCTGAACATCGACCCCGACCAGTATGTCCAAAAGGAGGCTGCGACTGCGTCAAAGAGCAAGAGCGGCAGCTCCTCATCCAAGGACCCTGGATCAGCCCAGGTGGACTTGATGAAGGAGATGATGGCCACCATGAAGCAGATGGCCGGGGAGATCAGTGCCTTGAAGGAGTCCCAGGGCTCCAGCACAACCGAGCTGAAGCACCGGCGTCAAGAGTAGGTTTGGACAGCGTTGCCAGTCCGGCGAAAGGTCTAGCGGAGCCTAGACCGATGAGGGGAGAGCAGAGCTCAAGTAGGGTCTGTGGTGTTTTGACTTCTGGTGAGTGTTGTATGTTGAGTGAAGCTCTTGGGGATTTTGTGTATAACCAGTGTAACGCTCTTCGGGACTCCTCTCAACTTTTCCTCATGGAACTGGCTTGCTCCAAGGAGTCTGTTTTGTCTGCCGAAGTAGAGAGACAAGGACTAAGGGCCGCTAGGTGTAGTGTGTGGAATGGTTTTGATCTTGCTACGGTTGCTGGGGTTAAAAAGTCCTTGCGCTTCCTACTTGACGAGCGCCCAGAACACCTCTGGGTGGCCACGGAATGCACAGCTTTTTCTCCAATGCAGAATCTGAATCAGCGCGACCATGCCCAAAAAGAGCGTCTTGCAGCCAAACGTAGGGAGCAGAGATTGCAACATGTTGGAGCCATGATTGTGACACGTTTTGCTCATGCATTAGGAGTGACTGTGCACTGGGAGTGGTCCCGGAGGTGTCGCGCATGGAAGTGGAAACAGGTGGAGGAGTTTAGACAGACATGTGGCACACACACACGGCTGTGATCAGTTGCTGCCAAGTCAACGTGCGTGATTCAGAGGGTAAGCATTTGCTTGGTAAAGAGTGGCGCATTGAAAGTTCCTCTCGTACCTTTTCTAAGGCTGTTCACCTTCCTTGTCCCGGGGATCATTGTAGGAAGTCTCATGCCCAGGCGGAAGGTAAGGATGTGACTAAACGGCCTTGTATAGCCCCGAGTTTGCGAAGAGAGTGGTTTTTCATATGTTAAGGGATGACCAAAACAATCCGGAGCGACCGGATAAGTGTCAAAGCCAGCGGGAGTACCAACAACTCATGGGGGTCGATTGGGGGGAGTGTCAGTGTTTCAGGTTCAGGGAGGACACTTCGGAGTTGCTTTGTCCGAAGTGCCTAGGAATGAGCCTTGAGTCCCCAGGGGTACATACGGTTGTTCGGAAGGACCCTAAAGAACCCTACACTAAAGTTGAGAGGGACCGTGTGTTGAAACAGCTTCATCATCTTCACCGGGCGACCGGCCATGGTTCATATGATCATCTTGTGAAAAGCCTTGAGGCCCGGAAAGCAGACCCCCGAGTGATTGAACTTGCTAAGGAATTCCGTTGCAGCACATGTGAAGAAAGGAAAAAGCCGATCCCCACAGAAGATTGGCCAACCTTGAAGTCAATACGGAGAAGTGCAAGATAGTCCAAATGGATGCTGCGCACTGGGCACCGGAAGCACAGGATAGCCGCAACAAGTGTCAGTTCATGGTCTTTGTGGATGAAGCGAGCCGTTTTGCAGTAGGTAAATTGTTTCGCAAAGATGGCGGCGGTCATGTGACTGCCAGGGACATCACTTCGGCCTTCCATGAAGTCTGGGAACCATGCTTCGGGATTCCGGAAGTACTGCGAGCAGATCCGGATGGTGCTTGCCGCTCGAAAGAGCTCGATCTTTCCTGGCCCAAGCCGTTCGCACCTGGAATCAGCGGGAGCCAGTGAGGGGCTACTCACCTTTCCAGTGGATGATGGGGAAGGCTCCAGACTTCGAAGACCGGATGTTCGTCCCCGACGTGCAAAAGTTACCGGGCAGCCTTCTACATCATCCTGAAGATGGCCTGCAGCGGTACGAGGCTCTCCGCATCTGCAGTGAGAAATCCTTCATTGACTGGCAGTATGGCGAGAAGCTCTCTCGGGCCCGCAACTCCCGAGCGAAAGACTACCGGATGTACCAACCAGGTGATCTTGTCTATTTCTGGCGCCTTCAAGGCAAATAGGCAGGGCAATGGCACAGGCCTCCGGCGAGGGGCATATGCTGGCCCAGCGAGAATCTTGGCCATGGAGAGCAAGTTTCGGGATGGAAAAATCATGCCAGGGTCAGCAGTATGGCTGATCCGTGGGCTGAGACTGGTGAAAGTCACAGTCGAGCAGATCAGGCCAGCCACTGAGAGAGAGACCCTGGTCCATGAACTGTCCCAGCGACAGCCTGAACTTCCTTGGACCATCACCAAACTGGCAGAGGAACTGGGACCTCACGACTACGACGACGTGACAAAGGATGGAGCGCCTGGACCTCTACAAGACCCGGACGAGGTTGAGGACATGGAGGAATCAGAGCCTGAGCTGATCCCGGCGGAACCACAACCACCCGAAGAACCGGGAGACCTGACCCGCCATAGAGTTCGCTTCAAGAGGCCACAGCCCATGCTACAACACAGTGGGCGACGCGTACCTCCTGCTCAGCGAGCTCTTTCAGTAGCGGAGGAGGCCATGGACCTTCCTCAAGAAGAAGCATGGCACGCACAGGTTCATCCAACGAAGTGGCCAAAAGGCAAGAACGCATAGGTTGGACATCAACCATGCGGTCGAGATTGAGGTGGACCTGCCTAGCTCCAAGAACAAGATGGAACAGTTCCTTCGTGACCCCACACAGTTTTTCATCAAGTCCCTGAAGCGCAAAACGATTGAGGTCAGCGAGAAGCGCATGACCGCTTCTGAGCGAGAGAGCTTCAGTGGTGCAAAATCAGTGGAGGTCCGCAAGTTCTTGGGAGCAAAAGCTTTCGAAGCTCTACCTCCAGGGCTGGTTCCAGACAAGGAACAAGCTCTTCGCATGAGGTGGATTTTGACATACAAACAGACCGAGGAAGGCGGCACCAAACCAAAAGCCCGTGCTGTTATCCTCGGGTTCCAAGACCCGGAGTACGCCAACCGCCCGACATTCGCGCCGACTATGACGCGGACGAGCCGACAGCTACTACTCCAGTACAGTGCTTGGAGAGGCATGACATGCTGGAAGGGCGACGTGTCCGGAGCCTTTTTACAAGGCAGGGAGTACCAGCGCCAGTTGCACGTATTGCCGGTCCCGGAAATTGCCAAGGAATGGGCCTGCCAGCCGGCAGCATATGCCGGCTGCGCAAGGCCTGCTACGGCCTGGTCGAAGCACCGATCGAATGGTTTGAAACGGTGAATAGCTTCCTACAGTCCCTGGTATATAGACAACTCCGCAGCGATCCATGTACATGGATCTACACTGAGGAGGGCAGGGTAATCTCCCTCATCAGTGGCCACGTTGACGATTTCTTGTTCTCTGGCTTTCCAGGCTGCCCGACGTGGGAGCGACTTCGGAAAGCCATCCAGGAGAAGTTCGAGTGGCAGGAATGGGAGGAGAACGAGTTCACCCAATGCGGAGTTCGAGTCCACAGGCTACCTGACGGCAGCTTTCACTTGGACCAGCACCAGTATGTTGATGGCATTCCAGCCATCAACATTCCCAGGGAACGGCGGAGGAGCAAGCACGAGCCCACCACGGAACAGGAAAAGTCCCAGCTCAGAGCCTTGTACGGGGCACTAAGCTGGCACACTGGTCAGGTGGGCTACAAGTACAGTGCTCATGTGGGCCTAGGGCTGTCAGAGATTCCGCTTAGCACGGTGGAACACCTGGAACAGGCGAACAAGTTGCTACTGGCGGTCAAGCAGGACAGCGTCCCCCTCAAGATACATTCCTTCCCTGAGGCGACAAATCTGGTCATGGTGGCATGGACTGATGCCAGCTCACAGAACCGGCACGATGGTAGCTCCACCGATGGCATCATCATTGGAGCCACTCCCGAAGGGATCTGTGACGGCGCTGTCTCCAAAGTGAGTCCAGTCTTCTGGCGTTCTGGGAAGATAGAAGGAACCTGTCGGTCACCAGGAGCAGCCGAAGCCCGAGCAGCAGTGGATGCAGAGGACAGCCTGTACCTTCTACGGTATGCCTGGGCCGAGTTCTGTGGCCACGTGTCCAACGTGTGGGAGCCAGATTTGCACGTCAAGCGGGTCACGGGTGTCTTGGTAACTGATTCCAGAAATGTTTATGACCGTATGGATAAGCCTTATGTGACCCCAAAGGTGCCAGTAAGAGGGTTGATATTGAGCTTCTTGCGTTGAAAGAATCCCAGAATCAAACCAATTTGGTAGTCAGATGGGTTCACTCAGACGCTCAGCTCGCTAACACCCTCACCAAGCGAGGAGAGGAGCATCAAGTGAACCGATTCATAGCAATGAATCAACAGTGGCGGATAGTGGATGATCCCAACATGTTTTCTGGAAAGAAAAGAAAGGCCAAGGGCCTGGATCCTCTCCAAAATTCTAATGGGATTGCCTGTGATGCTCCGAAGGAGTCCTCACACGCAGGAGGGCATGCAAGTTGACGTGCCCAGGTCAACTTCGGGGCAGAGCAGCACACACGAAGTGAGTGCCGCCAGCCATATCCGGCCCTGAGGTAGCTCCTTTCATAGTGACACTTTTTCCGCCATAGGTGCTTGCGCAACGCAGCTCTGGAAAAGGATTCTGTGGCCTGCAGAGCAGCTTCTTCGTCTACCAGGCAGGGCTCTTGTAGGGGGTTTAGGGTTTAGGACCAGTATTCACAAGGACTGCAGAACGATATACACACTCTTATGGTCCAAGTACCTAAGATCACCTGAATAGAATGTGATTAAATTCATGCGGGACGCTATACATATACATATACATATACATATACATATACATATACATATACAACTACATATACATATACATATACAAAAAACATATACATATACATATACAAAAAACATATACATATACATGCATATATGTGTACTAGTCTGGCCAAGACATGGCATGGATTGCAAATGCAAGCAAATGCAACCATCCGACGAAATCAAAATGCAAAAAGATTAGTTTCCATAGCCCATGGCTCATGACCAGCAAAAGAAACTCAAGTCTGGCCTCGCTTCGACATCTGCCACTTGCGACTCCAGGAGTGTTGAGTCGATGTCTCCCTTACCACTTGGACGATTCATGTGAGGGGGTTCGGGGTTCAGGGTTTCGAGCGTGTGGAAGGGTTATACGGGTTTCAGGGTTCAGTGTTTCGGGTTTGCGGAAGGGTTAAGTTATAGGAGGGTTTCTGGGTTCAGGGTTTAGGGTAGAGGGCTTTGGGTTTGTGGAAGGGTTATACGAGGGGTTTCAGGGTTTGGGGTTTCTGGTTCAGCTTCGTGTTTTGTGCAAGGATTATACGAGGGGTTGTGAACGTTACAGCTCTTTTGGGCATTATACTACGGCCCCTTATACTAATAAGGTACCCCAGCAGGGACCTAATCTTCACAACCCTCCATATCGTGTTTGGATTGGAGTTTGTGAGTTCTACAAAATAGAGGAAGTTTGGAATTTGGGAGCTTCGGGTGGCTTGTGCAGGGGTTTCACAATGGCTTTGGTACCCAGCCATGCTAGATTTGTGGGAACTCGATGTGGGAATGTGAAGGAGTTTGGTGTAGCGTTTAGGGATCTGGGTGTGGGGTTTAGGGTGTACGGTTTGGGGTTAGGAGGTTCGTGGGACTTAGTTCCCTCGAAAGGGGGGTATAGCATATAGGCGGCTTCTCCTGTAGCGGTTGGGGTCTAGGGGGTTTAGGAGCTTTAGGGGTCTTGTGGTTAAGGTTTTTGGGCTTCGGCTTGGGGTTTTGGAGGCACAAGGATTCATACAAGGATTACGAGTCTACCCGGAAAGGATTACATAAGGATGACTCTGAGAAACTCCCACCAAAGGGCTAATGAGCTGCTTATGAAAGGATTGCACTTGCAATGCGCAATAAGATCCCGATGGATCTGCAGGTTCCTCAAAACACGAGGCTCTTAGCGAGATATTCAGATGCCAAAGAGATGGTGAAGGTCTCTACTACACTACGAACACCACTTGGACAATGCTCAGCATTCCCGTATCACAGAACCAGCGCCTGATCGTCCAGCGCGTAGCAGCTCCCACTTTCACCTGGCAACTCTAGCATGCAAAGGATCCTTCCCAGAAATTACTTGGGGCCCTTCAGAGAGGGCTAGACAGGGCTCGAGCAAAGGCCACAAATAATTTGCTTGCATTGCACAATGATGGCATTCCATTGGTGACTGGTTCCCATTTTGTTTCATGTTGGCCTCATAAGCAAGAGAAGCAAGCAACATGTTCCCACATAATGACTGAAGCAAGAACAACACTTTTGCTTGCGAAGCGCAGGAATACAGACACGGCTGCAGGCATTTGGAGCTGAAGCTGTGTTTGTTTGGGCCCACTTCGGACTAGGAGACCTATGGGAGCTTCCAAAAAGCAGGGTTCCGCCTCTGTACAGCCAGTATGCTCTACCCCCTTCTACAAACCCGCACAAAAGGACCTTTTTTGCACATCTTTTTGGAAAAGCAAGCCAAGTACTGCAAGCCACGCACAGGTTCCACCAAAAAATGCTCACATCCAGGCCTGGCTTTTGGATCGGGGTGAAGTGAATCATGTTGTAGCCCAGCGCGGCCTGAATCTACTAAAGCTGGTACTACGAGTACCCTACATACTGGGGATTGGTAGGGAATGAGGAAAATTTATGTACATATACAGGTACAGATGTTCTAGGGATGCTATAGGGATTACATTCCTTTATTTTCTACGAACCCCAGGTAAGCCTAGCAGCTCTCTTGCAGCAGGCCGCGTGGAGTAGATCATTGGCTCGGACATGTTTCCGTGATACATGGGGTTCCAAGATGTTACACATGTTAGTCTACAGTACCCTACATACGTAAGCTCATCGTATGGTCATTGCGAGAATGGCTTTGACACTCATTTCTGGGACCTCCATAGGGACCCGCATACCATTAACTTTGACCAAGGCCCATATATCTTATAACACTTAACACTGAACCCTAAAGTCTCCGTGGGTTCCAACCCTAACCCCCTAATCCCTTAGCCCTAGACACACAGCAGCGCAATCCATTTCGAGCTTGGGCGGTGCAGGCTGGGAGGTTCCCCCAGCGCGTGAGACGTTATTGCCCTTCCGTCCGGTTCGGCGGCTTCTCGAAATGATTCTGAGCCCTTTTGCTACAAGATCTTTTGTGACTAGACTCACAAGACCCACAAGGAGGTGCCTGGGGAGGCTAGCAAGATATTGGGTAAAGAAATCCTGAACCAAGTATCCCGTAATCTTAAAGGAAGGACTCAGAATTTTGAGGATTTCACACCTGAAGAAATCCATGCGCAAAAGTTCTGCGAAGCTGCAGGCACTGGCTGCACCCCGGTGCTCCCCTACAACTTCGCATGTGCCCCTTGCGGTTTTGGTCTCGAGATTGGGTTTAGAGGTTCGGAGGATGCAGGTGTTTGGGATGTCAGGGTGTTTTTTTGCAGAGGGACCACACGCTCTGTGCGCATGATCTGGGACATATTCGTGTGTGAAAATACTAGCACGTCTGCGCTGCGCAATCTGGGAAGCAGGTGCCCAAAGCTTCCTGGTAGCTGCAATCAATCAATCGGGACGGCGGATGGAGGAAATCTTGCCCTCCTTCGGAACCCAAGAAGCAGTACACTAACGCCTGAGACATATGATATTTAAAATCGTCTAGGATCTCCCCATCCACTGTGGCCTTCTCGGCTCTATTCATGATATGTCCTACCGAGCCATGCAGACCCATGCCTGCCGCCGAAGACACATATCAGACACTGACACTGAAACTGCAAGATCCGCCCGGAGATAAACGCATGCGAATGCGGTGTTTTTCTACGGAGATATGAACCTTGCAGCAGGAATGCTGCGGAGTTTAGGCTCCATGGCCTTCCAAAGCTTTGTCCAACCACTTCTTGCTCAGTGGTACTGCAGACAGGTGCGCCTTCTCGCAAGAGCCTGGAGCTGAAGCAATTGCAGACTTTGTAACCAAGAGCCCTAGTCTGGTGAGGACTATGGCTTGGCTTCCTGGCATGGTGTCCAAAATGCTGAATTCCACAAGTGCAAGAAGCAAAAGTCTCACACTCTTCTAGCTGCCATCGAGGCACTCAGGGGTTTTCCCAGCTTCTCAGCCATGCTGATGATACCTGGCTATCAATCACAGCAAGGAAGTGGCATTCTGCACAAGGTTCCATAACTCGAAGCAACCCTCGAATCGCGAATGCATTGCCAAACACTGCAGTCAAATTTCTTCTACAGGCACGAAAATTCTGACAAGAGAGGACACAAGCTCCCAATCCAATCCAGCTTTTGGAACCACATACTCGAACAAGGATTATTCTCGTTATTGCGCATTTTCCATGATTCACCTGGTCTCTCAAAAGCCCCAGCATTAGCCCTGCACTAGGTCGCCTGGAGCGCTGGGATCAGCGAGAAAAACGGACACTGACATCTTCTTGGCCGTGGCTGCTACAGCAAGCCTTCAGGGTGGAGGTATTAATTGAAGGATCAGGCAGTTGTAACCCAAACTTAGCGGTACGTATAACCCAACTTTAATTGTATAAGGGGATTCAGCGGGGTGGTTAGCTGGGTTATGAATACCATCGTAGTTCGATTATAGGTGACCTGAACCTCCAAGTAGACTTAAAGCCATGGACACCCTGTTTTGAGGATCCTCAAATACCCAACACCTACCCCATATGTACCCTTCCGGGCCCTTGAATCACCTTGAACATGATAAAGGGGTCATAGTAGGGGCCCGTTCTGATCAGCCTCAGAGCTGTCCTACTTTTTGGGGGGGCTTCGGACTGAAGGAATTGGGCTCCAAGCTTTTGGCTTAGAAATTTGGGTGTAGATGCCAAAGCTCAAGTTTCCGAGTTAGGGATTGGGGTTTAAGGTTTGAGGTTTGAGGCTTGAGGTTTACGGTTCCGAGTTCATGGTGTGAAGTTTGGTTACGTTTCGGCATCAACATTATTCCCTTAGAAGCCTCATGCTGTGGTACAGGAACCCCAAAACGGTTTCCATGTCATTCGCGCATTTCTTTTCCATCTAATTCTCCTTCATTTTACTTTCTAAGCCCGTAAAAAGTAACCACCCCCAACCCCAGGACCCAAACTCTATCGC